TTCAGACACAATCCTAAGTGAAATGTGTCTGAGTGTTCCCAATGCTCCTGGGCACCAAAGAGAGACTCTGGGGGTCTCTCAGGGCATATCCCTATATAATAAAGAAAGACAAAACAAAACAGAGCATGTAGGTTCACCACAAGGGAACCTACAATGCTTCCTGGAGATATAGATATATTAATTTTCTTTTAATACTATGCTGCAGGATCTCAGAGGACATTTATTTCGGTACAGGTTAATTACTTTATATTTATATTTAGCAATACTACTATCTATATCTCCAGGATATCTCATCATATTTAAAGACTGACAAACTATCATGGGAATTATAGTTCCATTACATCTGAGGATCTGCATTTTAGCCATTTGTGGTCTACGTAATATATCAAGTAGCAAACTATGTTTATAAGGCAAATATAGAGAATCCTTAGAAAAAAGAAAAAATACCACATATTTTTAGTAATTAGATTGAGAAAAAAAAAGTGTTTTTTTTTTCGTCACATTCACGTTTTATCTATTAAAATTGTTTTATTCAAAGATTATTCACATTCTAGTAGATTACCTGAAGAGAAGATATCATGGAAATTCTTCAGTACAAAATCTGTCCATTCTCCGAGCATTGCTCCTTTGTCTGAATCATAATAATCTTTTGAATTAAATTCCTTTATGAAAATCTCTGGTCCAGAGAATGGTGTATCCATTGCCCCGTCTGTCTATTCTCAATTCAAATTCACAGAAATCGTTCCAGATTATGGTGTAAATCTCTCTTTTTAAGATTTATCAACAAAGGCTGATAACTGGGTTAAAAGACAAGAGGTTAACATTAAATAGACAGATAAGCAAACATAATTACGAAACACGGGTAGACAGAAAAACAGACTGACAAACAAATGATGGATACATAAATAATAATGAAATAACTTTTTTGATGTTTGTATATAGTATTATGTTCATTCAGTGACAGAACTAAAGTTTAGATGGCCCTGGTGCAAGAATTGTTTTAGGGCCCCCTATCATGAGGATGGACAAAAAGGTAGATTCCCATCTGTCATAAACCTCCCACATGCTTTGCCAGCTGAAGAACTGCTATTTGCCTATGCTTGCAAGGATGTAATTAGCAGTGAACCGTGTTTGTATGTTTGAATGAAAGCATTTTGTTTGTATGGACTATGTGTGAATTTAGGGGAGTATTTGCGTTTAGTGTTGTGTGTTTTTATGTACTGTTGCCATTTGAAAGCAGTAGTTTACTTGTGTGTAGTGTGTGGTTTCGAACGTAGGGTTGTGTGTATGTAATGTTGATGTTTGAATGTAGGGGTGTATTTGTGTGTAGTGCTGGAGTCTGAATGCTGAGGTGTACAGTGAGGGAAAAAAAGGTATTTGATCCCCTGCTGATTTTGAACGTTTGCCCACTGACAAAGAAATGATCAGTCTATAATATTAATGGTAGGTGTATTTTAACAGTGAGAGACAGAAAAAAAAAAATTCCAGAAAAACGCATGTCAAAAAAGTTGTAAATTGTGTTTTTTTAAGAGCTACCTCAGCCCCACACTCCTATCCTAGCAGCAGGACCCCAAGCAAGTTACCCTCCTGTGAATAAATGTTAATAGGAAACATTATATGACTGTGGTAGCACACGTTAAAATACAGGTATGTACCTGTGCAACATGAGAATTTTAGTTTACAATAGCTGGGATGGTAAAGATTAGCCATAACTATCGAATCTATAATTCCCATGGTGTTTATCATAGGAGCTGCAGTCAACCAGAAAAGGCTAGTTAGTGTGTAATGTAGTGCCCACAAGCTTAGCCTATAACTAGCAGTATGGCTGGCTGATTATTATTGTAGATGCACTTAAAGGGACTCCCCAGGCAGCAGTTTTAACTCACCTGGTTCCAGCGCCGGGAGCCTCGTGAAGCCGCGCCCCCTATTTTGTCAAAATGACAAAATAGGCGGGCGCAAGCAGGGAGCAATCAGACGCTTCCATTTGGAAGCTTCATTGCTCCCTTGTGCACTTGCGCGGCTCCGCCGCACATGCGCACATACTTCATAGGGCGCCATCGCACAGCCACATTAACAGTAAATTACTATTCCCACAATGGTCAACTATCATTGCTGTTTGCCCAGTACATCATTTGATTTACACTCAACAAGTTAATGCTGTGTAGTTAGTTAGCTCTAGTTAATACGGTCATTACATCCTGCACCACATTTCACATTACTGCTAATCAAACACTGCAAATTGTATTTGGTTTTAATAGCATAACCCCACCATTTGATTGCCAGATTAGTGTGTAATGCCCCCTTTTCACTGAAAGGGTTAAAAATAAAGCTTGTCTTACCAGTGTAGCAGATCCAGCACAGATAAAGGGAATATGAATAAAATGAAGGAGTTATCGTCAGCCAGCCAACAGAGGGTGGAGGAAGTCTGAGTGACTGGGAGGGGATCCAATATTAAAGAGAGGAGTATGATATCGTGATGTAGTTGTGAATGTCCCGTATAAAGTATATAAAGCATGCAACGTGATAGCGTTACTGATTGATAATTATAGTAACAAGCAGCTGAAATAAAAATGTTACCTATTAACAATGAAATATTGCCAAGAGTATAACGTGGAGAGTCCAAAAGGAGCTAATCACCTAAATGCTTACCCAACTCACCAAAAACAGAGAAGTGAAAAATGTGATAATGAAGAGTAGAAATAAAGAGTGAAAAGTAAAGGAAAGAAATATATAAACAAGTGATAAAAACAAAATAAAGAAAAGATATAGTAATAAAAAAAATATAAAAATATAGTAATAAAAAGAAGAATAGGAAGAAAAAAGACAGAAGTACATAAAGGGAATCAAAAATGATTAATGTGTACAACTTAATTCAAAGGCATGAATTAAAACAATATTGCATAAGTTCAAAAAAGTTTATATCCACTTATCATGTTTTCCAGGATTATTAATAACTTCATTCCTATTATACGCACTGAAACCATAGATTTATGTGATAACTTTTTAGCAATGAGGAGCTATATAACATATGTTATAATACATTATGCAATAATATAATATAGTATATGTAACGGCTACCCAGCTGTAGAGGGGTATCTGCCGTTGGAGACGTCCTTTTCTAGGCAAGCTGCTGTGAAGTAATGGAGTTCTTATTCCCATCCACGATATCCAAGTGTATTAATCCAGGAGTGCTGTATAATGAGGCAGAGTAACGGTACCATAAATCCCCTCCAAGAACGAGACGAGGCTACGTTTTGAATGGTCAAGTAGAACTGATGTTTATTGACAGGGGGTCTCCTTTTATGCAGTATTGCCCTCTGAAAGGCTACACCCACATAATTATTACAACAGCCAATTACAGACATGGTTCAACCCCCACGTCTCCTCCCCTCAGATAACATATAACACAATTAAAACAGACACAATTTTAACTACATTCTGGATGTACCCCAAAAACAGGGGTACACCTTTAAGTACCGCTTAATAGCTCTCACTCAGGGGAATAATATATCCAAATTTCAGTCCATTCGGTTGAGGGGTTCGGGAGTTATGGGTCTTTGAAGTTTTGACCGACCGCACAGGTTTTCTAGCCGAAAAGAGTTCCATAAGTTTTGGCCTTGCGGTCGGTCTCCGTTCGTGCATAAAAACCCCACGAACCCCTTGCCATCCACAGTAATCCTGGTGTTCGCCTGAATCCCCATTAATGCTTAAACAAAACTACCGAACGGCCGGTCGTTCGGTAGTTCCAGCACGAACTTACGAGCTCCTGGAGGTCTCAGTGGTGTTCGCCTGTTTGCGTATCCGTTTTTAGTTCCATGCGGTCACAGGCAAACACCGCCGTTCGTGCGTAAGATGGCCGCGAACACGAGTAAAGTCCCGAAATGGCGGCCATCTAACCTGAGCACAAAGGGATTCGTCTGAACCATGCGAACGACTCCACAATCACTGGGAGGTAAAATAGCAATTAACTGTTCCCCTGGGTGGTCTGATGTTCGGTATTTTGGGCTGTATGTTACAGTAGCAATATTCACACGAAAACCAGCCATTCGGTTTCTGTTTAACACATCCAGCAGCATTGTTAATTAAGTCCAGGCAAAAGTATAGGTATAATCATAGTTCTGTTACAGTATAGTTCTGGTTTTAGTTCTGGTTTTAACAAACCTGTCACAGCAGTCTACTTAGACTGTCGCCATCACCGTCACCATCACCGACTTTCTGTTAAGTGTTTCTGGCTCTATGAGTACTCGCAGGACTTCAAGTTTTGCTTACGATTGTTCATTTTTAATCAGTGCTTTTAAACAGTAAAGAGTATAATGATGATGATATCATAAGTGAAAGTGCAGTTTTGTGTTAAAAACACAAAAAACAAATCAAAATGAACTCTACATTTGGCCAGGGTCATTTTCATTTCTGGACTGCCATACTGTCTCAAAGGCAACATAGGCCCAGCAAACCAACCTTTTATAAAAAGTGCAGGTTTCTTGAAAAAAAGGACAATCTTCTTTAAAAAAGGAGGACGCACTCTTCACACATAAAGCAGTTCAGAAGGCTAAAGCACTTCACGGGTTCAGAGTGTCCCTTTAAAAGCACTCCGCTGCACTATCACTACTGATTGCATTTAAATTGTGGTATTAGGAAGGCAATCCATGAACCGTGGACACAGCTACAGTCTAAATTCACTTTGCACAATTTATACAGAATTTAGTTTTAAATAACGCTTATACATAATTTAGATTATTTTTATTATACACACATATCTAAAGGCGTAGGGGTTGGCAGGGACTTTAATTTGACAATCTTTATTTGGTTTTATATCAGTACAACTCTACGTAAGATATTTCATAATAAGTGTACAATTTCAAGGGTTTATAAAGGATACACAAGTCTATGAAACATACTACAAAACATTCCATATTCAATTTCCATTTTTTGATCCCCTCTCCAAACTCTCCCCCTGCTCCCTCGACACTCCCAACCCCCTCAACCTGAGAGAGGTCACCCTAGTCTTTAATATAGATCTTCGCGAAAAGGATTCTTGGAATGGAAAACCGAAGGACCATTGTGAAGCTACCTCATTTGATAACGGAACTTACAGGGATTCCAATTGCGACCTTACTGCCATTTTAATAGTTGTACCTTTTCCATAAAACATGAGATGAAAGCATAAACAGAGACAATTTTATTTATCTTAATGGAATTATCACCGTTTTCATCAATAGGAAAATAATGTATGGGGTTATTAAAGAATAGAAAATAGGAGCAAGAGTGTAACTTAAAAAAAATGTAACTTTATTCTTGCAATAACACATAGTAATGAATTAGAAAAAAAAAGTGTAAAAGTAGTATGATTATCTTTAACAAGATTTATAAAATGTTTTTCCACCATTGTTTATTGAACACAGATTCACAAATAATATGTGCTAGAAAAAACATATATAAATCTAAAAATAACATTGCAGGAGCCAGAATGGATTAGAGATCTCTTTTAAGAGCAAATGTTTGTCATTAGCATTATTTTTAAAGTAATGTATAACCTGATACTTAGATATTATTAAAGCTGATCATTACCTAAATACTGTAGTAGTGATTGTGTTTTTGTAAGTAAAGGCTTCCATGGTATCTAATGTGCTATATGGAGATTATATATAGGCACATACCCCTCACTGAGTTGCACATGGACATTTCCACACATTTCAGTGGACAGTAACATTTGAGATTGCACACAGAATTATATTTGCAAAGCTAAAAGATGTTTGTTGTGCTATTTTTAGGAAAGAGAGAGGATATTTTATGTGAATACCTAATTGTTATTTACAAAAAAATATGTGCGTACAAAGGGAAATATCCACTGATGTATTGTGTATTTGCACATCATGTGCTAAACATCCAACTGTGATCAACTGATAAATCATATTGCAATGCACTTTATCCTTAACATATTTTATTCTTTGATAAAAGATAAAAGCTCACATCTACTGTAACCGCGGCTGGTTCCCTTATTTACCACTATAATGTCTTAAAGCATAAAACTTAGTAGGGCTAACCATACAGATATCTTAGCCATAATTTTATATAGTTAGTGTAAGAGATCCTCTATTTAAAATACATAAATAATTGAGAATACAATAAAAATAGGAGTTGGAAGCAATAACTTTTGTCTTATTAATATAGTGTATTGAATATAAATGAAAACAGATATATAAACTTAATAATCCATTAATATATCATAAAGCAGAGTATACACAATTAAATGAATAAATGCTTGCAATATAAAGTATTAGTATAACATACCCTCCTGATTATTTCAGTATGTCACCTCCAGAATCAGTCAGTAAGTCTCTACCTAGCATTGATCATGCATGTAAATATAGTATAGCATTTCTAATTACTACTGGTAATGTATGGGTTAATTCATCTTAGGGTTAAAAACAGTTCATATATAAAAATAAAAGAAAAACACCCTTATCAGTCTAATGCCATAACCTAGACATCTTTAATCTGTATTTGGACTAGAAGTTAGGTTGACATACACCTTAGGGTTAAAAACAGTTCATATATAAAAATAAAAGAAAAACATACTTATCAGCCTAATGTCATAACCCAGACATCTTTAATCTTTATTTGGACTAGACGTTAGGATGACATAGGCAAAGCCTTGAATTGTTATTGCATTAATCTAAGACAAGATGGAGTAAACATGTTGTGTACTGTAAATAGGTAAAATGTTATTAGTTAAAGAAACAGTTGCAGTTTAAAGAAATACAATTTAGCAATGTGTATTATACCTACAATTGCCCATCACACTACCATTATTGGTGAAAAAGTTGTGATCCGCAAAAGCTTTCACCCGACTATACAGTTGGGTGAAAGCTTTCACGGACTGGCAATAAATTGCCACAAAATATTTCCCCGGTGCTATGATCCGCCGGGTTTTCCTCTCGCAAGCTCGGAGCATTGCCGCGATTACTGTGGCAACGCTCCAAATCTCACAAGAGTGATCTCTAACCTGAGCTGCTAGAGTTCACTCCTTACCACTTGGACCACCAGGCCTTCCCCACAGACCACAAAGCAAAGGTAAGCAGGGAAGGGAGACATGAAAATTATTATTTTCATTAATTACATTTTCTTTATAATTTATTAATCCACCCTCCAACCCCACAGACCCACAATAATTCAACCCCATACACACACACTGCACCCACACACCGCCCCCACACACACACATTGCCCCAATACACGCATACTGCCCCTCCACACACACACTGCCCCCATACACACACACTATAGCCCTCACACACACTGCCCCTATACACACACTGCCCCATACCCTTACACACACTGCCCCTATACACACACACCACCCTCATACATACATACTGCACCCCTCACACACACACACACACACACACACACACACACACATTGCCCCTATACACACACACTGCCCCCACACACTGCCCCCACACACACATTGCCCCTATACACACATACTGCCCCTCCACACACACATTGCCCCATACACACACACTATAGCCCTCACACACACTGCACCCCATACACACTGCCCCTATACACACACTGTCCCATACCCTTACACACACTGCCCCGATACACACACACTGCCCCCTATACACACACACCACTCTCATACACACATACTGCACCCCTCACACACAGACACACACAAGCTGCACCCCTCACACACACACACACACACACACACACAAGCTGCACCCCTCACATATACCATTGGTTTTTATTTCAGCCTGACACCGGTCCGCAAAATATTTCTCCTCTTTTCGCCGGGCCAAAGGTGTTAAAAGGTTGCAGAACACTGTTATACACTGCATGGTTTACGGGCATGAACACAGTAGATGCTGTCATAATCTGAGATGTCTAACTTAGACTTATCCTCACGCTGTTTCACTTCTAAATTCACAATTTCATAACCAGCTTCTACAAAAGCCTTCTCAATATCTTTCTTTGTTATGCTCAAGCAATAAAACTTTTTTTCCCCGACATAATAAAATGTAGTATTTAGTGCACTCTGAATTATGACATGGCCTCCTGGTTTGAGCAAGTCCTTAAGGCTTTTCAGGGTGTTACAATAGGAAGCCACATCCTTACATGCAGCCTCTAAGCAGAGACAACTTATTAGACAATCAGCTGGTGGAAGAACAAGTGGCTCAAATGGATTCTTCTTCAGTACGTCACATTTCAAAACTTGCGTCACAGTTTTGCAGAGTTTTTCTTCCTTTTCCGCCAAATTAACACTGGAAAACAGAAATGGATATTAATTATGAAACAGCTCTGATTTCTATGTAAATTCTATTACTGATCCACAGATAACATAGAAAAATCTACTTTATTATTTGCATTAATCTTTACCTGGTAAGACAAATAAATACCCATCTGATTTGATCCGCACAAAGCATTATCATATACATGACAATTTTCCCTAAATATTCAGATAAATTTGCATATTGATGTTTCCGCAGGCGGGATAGACATTAATAGGCATTTATTCATTAAATGTCAGATTTTACTCAACTGAAACTAAATTACAAAATTTAGGGCCAAAATACCCATGATGTGAATGTAGCTTGGATATATTTTTCAAATCAGCATTTTTTTTTTGCATAAACTTTGCAATTTGTTTTTGAATTTTAAAAAAAATATACTTTTAATGAATAAACTTCATTATGTTTGGAAGGGAAGCATTTTTAAAAAATAAAATATAGACTATTTTATTATAAATAAATTGTCTAGGGTTATGTTTGCATATCATGTGAGTGATGCTCAATCCCTCACTTAGCCTTTTTATTTGTGGTTTTTGGCTCACACTCATATGTGCGCCATAAACATGTTATCCCGTAGCATCAGTATCAATCTACATTTTTTTTTTTATTACAAAAATGTCTCTATTAAATCTTCAGTACTGGATTGATCATACCTTTTTCCTTCTAGATCACAAACAAATTTTACACATGGGGTCCAGTCCAACATATTAGATTCCTTCTTCAGCCATTTCTTTAGTTCAGTGAGATTTTGCTCCAGGAAGTCGGAAGTGATAATGTTAGTAAAGACTTCACAAGCTGAAAGCAGGTGATATATTGTTGGTCCTGCACCAATATCAATCAGTGTGTTTCCTTTAACATTTCCTGTTTAGATAAAATACATATTTAAATATATAAAAATTAATTCTTTAGAAATATTTCAAAAAAATCTGATTATTTTTAACAAAATATTCAAGGTTATGATTAACAAGAATGTGGGTTGTTGATCCAATGAGAAATCTGATTTACATTATGCTGTCAACAATGTACTTCTAACGCCATGTCTTCTAAATCAGTGGTTCCCAACTCAGTCAATATTCTGAGTCGAATAACTGCTGAAAACTGTTCTGGAAATTGGATATCCTCTGGATTGTGACTCCCATCTTTCACAGACTGATATGTCAAGTGTGCCTCTCACCAACACAGAGAATTCCCTATTGATTTTAGTTGGTACCTTAACCCCTAACACTATTTACTCCTTAGCCCTAACCTTATGTACACCTTTAGCCTAAAACTAATTATCCCCTAGTAAAAGCAGCGTTTATACATCCTGGGACAAATGTTCCTTCATTAATGAAACTATCATGATTATAATTATTATTTATAAAGAGCCAACAAGTTCCGTAGCACTAAACAATGGGTTGACTATCAGACACGTATTTGTAATCAGACAAGTTGGACGCACAGAAATAGAGGGATTGAGGGCACTGCTCAATCAGGGCTGGATTAACATAGGGGATGATGGAGCAGCTCCAGGCCCAAGCCCATGGAATAGGACCATTGCTTTAAAAAAATAAATAAAACATTTTCAACATCACAAACTGCCAATAAGCCAGCCAGTCCAGGCATGCAAAACTACAATAGTTTGGTCATTTCTGGTCTACAAAATATATCAAGGAGCAAACTCTGCTTATTATGCAAATAAAGAGAATCATTGAAAAAAAATGTGCCATGTATTTTTTAAGCTAGTAAATAGAAAGAGAAAAAAAGTACAAAACAATTTAGATTTTTTTAAAATAACAAATCTATTATCTATTCTTATCTATTAAAATAATGTTATTCAAAATTATTCAGTCTTGAAGATTACCTGAAGAGAAGATTTGATGGAAGTTCCTTAATACAAAATCTGTCCATTCTCCGAGCAATGCTCCTTGGTTTGATGAATAGTATGAATCATAATAATCTTTTGAATTAAATTCCTGTTTGTAAATCTCTGGTCCAGAGAATGGTGTATCCATTGCCCCATCTGTTCTCAATTCAAAAGCACAAAGATCATTTCAGATTATGGTGTAAATCTCTGTTTTTATACAAGATTTATCAACAAAAGCTGATAAGTGGGTTAAAAGACAAGAGGTTAATATTAAACTGTGTTTACACTCCAGATGTGATGTACAACAAAGTTACTCATGAAAATAGATAGGTAAGCATAGATAAATACAATACACAGTTAGACAGAAAAACAGACTGAAAGACATGTATGTATGTAGTGGGGAATCGCGATGCAGCATAATACATAAATAACCCCCAGTCAACCCTCCAAAATAATGACTGACAAGGTAGTATGGATCAAACGGGCCACAGCATTTATTATTACATATGATAAAATACTGCATAACACATCCATAAGCTATTCAATAATTTCTCTTTTCTGTAACCAAAACGTTAAACATAAATAACCACAACTTAACATATATACATATAACTTAACACATAGTGTTATACAGTGAACCCAACCGTCCTTGCCAATAAACAGACCATACTCCTATGTCCACTTCCTCTTACCTCCCCCCTCGGCATAAACTAATTTCCTTCCAGTGCCTGCCACCAGCCGACTTTATCCACGCTCGATGGGCACGACATCCCAGGTAACCTAAGTTTAACCGTTTTGAGAAGGGGAGGTTGAGACCTGCAAACTTGTTCAACTCATTTCATATCCTTAAACATAACCCTTCAAACTTAATTGGCAAGGACATACCCCTGGCTAGCTGTGACTAACTATACTAATGGGGCGGGCAGGTGGGAAGCTGTTTGCTGGCCCGAATCCCAAGTGGCAGTGAGGTAAGACCGCCCCCCGAACTCCCCGCTATCAATTCACAGAAATTCCAGTCCTAAACAGAACACTCTAATAAACTGGAAATGTGAAAGAAAACTACCATCCTCATGCACCAGGAGGGGCAGTGCGGGAGAAGAGCGTAAGGAACAATATTCCCCAAAGGACAAAACAGGAGAAATGCCGGAAACCGGCACAGCCCCCAGTCGGACCTATTTCCCCTCCCCAAGACATCAGTCTTCGAGCGGTGAATACTAAAGGAAATCTGATCAGCAGTGCAAGTAACGCCCCCAAATAGCACGAGGCAGGAGGTGCTGGGGAAGCAGGTCGGGCGACCGGTGCCCACTGGGTAGGCCGTGCAACCCGCGTGGCAGTAGAAGGCCAGACATAAGTCCTCACTTATGCCGCGTGGCAGCCGAAGGCCGGACAGCAGGCCTCACTGTAGAAGGCCGCGTGGCAGTGGAAGACCGCAAATCCCGGCCTCCGGTCCTGGTGATGCCTCGGGCCTGGGCTCCTACTCCTCAACTGGGCCCGAGGAGTAGTGTCTAGGGAAAGCCTAGCTGGCGGGGGCGAGAACGCCGGTTGGTGCTAGTGCGGCCCCCAGGGACTGGGGCTGCAGGGGAGGCAGCAAGGGAGACCGCAGGAGGTGCTCCAGGAGGAAGTAGGCCATGGGGGGAGCCCAAACCGGCAGCCATACCTTGAGTAATGTGAGCAAATTGCTCCCTCAGTTGCCGGCCACCATCCAGCACTGCAGCAACCCTGAGGGACGCCAAGATTGCCTCAATATCCATCCCTCAAGCTGTGAAAACCTACAGGCCCAGTACAAACAGGAGAAGGAGGACAGGAAGTTGTTTGCTGGACCGAATCCCAAGTGGCACTGAGGTAAGACCTCCCCCCCACTAACTCACATAGAACATAATCCCTCCCACACATTCTTTCCAAACCGCTCCCACGCATTCATTCACACACTCATACATGTGCCCTTGTCCGCTTAGCTGTGCTATCTCCCCAGGGCCTAATGATGGATGCATAAATAATAATGAAATAACTTTTTTGATGTTTGTATATGTTATTATATTTATTCAGTGAACTAAAGTATAGAGGGCCCTGGTGCAAGAATTGTTTTGGCACCCCTATCGCGAGGATGGACAAAAAGGTAGATTCCCATCTCTTATACAACTCCCACATGCTTTTCCAGCTGAAGAACTACCATTTGCCCATGCTTGCAAGGATGTAATTAGCAGTGAACCGTGTTTGTATGTTTGAATGAAAGCTTTTTTTGTATGGACTATGTGTGAATTTAGGAGAGTATTTGTGTGTAATGTTGATGTTTGAATGTAGGGGTGTATTTGTGTGTAGTGTTGGAGTCTGAATGCTGAGATCTACAGTGAGGGAAAAAAAGTATTTAATCTCTTATCGAGCAGCAAGATTTCTGACTCCCAGGTGTGTTTTATACAGGTAGCAAACTGAGATTAGGAGTGCTCCTAATCTCAGCTCGTTAACCTGTAAAAAAGACACCTGTTCACAGAAGCAATCAATCAATCAGATTCCAAGCTCTCCATCATGTCCAAGACCAAAGAGCTGTCCAATGATGTCAGGGACAAGATTGTAGATCCACATAAGGCTGGAATGGGCTACAAGACCATCACCAAGCAGTTTGGAGAGAAGGTGACAACAGTTGGTGCGGTTATTCGCAAATGGAAGAAACACAAAATAACTGTCAGTCTCCCTCGGTCTGGTGTTCCATGCAAGATCTTACCTCGTGGAGTTTCAATGACCATGAGAATGCTGAGGAATCAGTCTAGAACTTCACGGGAGGATCTTGTTAATGATCTCAAGGCAGCTGGGACCATAGTCACAAAGAAAACAACTGAAAACACACTACGCCGTGAAGGACTGAAATCCTGCAGTGCCTGCAAGGTCCCTCTGCTCAAGAAAGCACTAGTATAGGCCCTTCTGAAGTTTGCCAATGAACATTTGAATAATTCATAGGAGAAATGGGTGAAAGTGTTGTGGTCAGATGAGACCAAAATCAAGCTCTTTGGCATACATTCAACTGTCATGTTTGGAGGAGGAGGAATGCTTCCTGTGACCCCAAGAAAACCATCCCCACCGTCAAACATGGAGGTGGTAACATTATGTTTTGGGTGTGTTTTTCTGCAAAGGGGACAGGAAACTGCACTGCATCAAAGGGACGATGGGCCGTCAAATCTTGGGTGAGAACTGCTTTCCCTCAACCAGGGCATTGAAAATGGGTCGTGGATGGGTATTGCAGCATGGCAATGACCCAAAACACACAGCCAAGGCAACAAAGGAGTGGCTCAAGAAGAAGCACATTAAGGTCCTGGAGTGGCCTAGCCAGTCTCCAGACCTTAATTCCAATGAAAATCTGTGGAGGGAGCTGAAGGTTCGAGTTGCCAAATGTCAGCTTTGAAATCTTAAAGACTTGGAGAGAATCTGCAAAGAGGAGTGGGACAAAATGTATGCAAACCTGGTGGCCAACTACAAGAAACGTCTGACCTCTGTGATTGCCAAAAAGGGTTTTGCCACCAAGTACTAATACTTATTTCACTCATTGACATGCAAATCAATTCATAACTTTTTTTAAGTGCTTTTTTCTGGATTTTTTTTTTAAATTCTGTCTCTCACTGTTAAAATACACCTACCATTAAAATTATAGACGGATCATTTTTTTGTCAGTGGGCAAATCTTCAAAATCCGCAGGGGATCAAACACTTTTTTCCCTCACTGTATACTCATTTATGTATATATATATATATATATATATATACACACACACCACACACACACACACTGAAACACATACACACACACATATACAGACATACACCGACATGTCTGGATACACAGATACACATACAGATTTGCAAACACATTAATACACATACAGACACACACATACACACACTGACAAACTTGGAGATACAGACACACAGATACACACAGTGATACTCATACAGATACAAACATCGACACACATACAGTTAGACATGAGCACCTATTGACAGAAAGATACAGATAGAGACACAGAGATACACATTTCACAGAGGTCATCTCTTTCTGTGGTACAACTATATTATGTGGCTAAAATGATTGTTACATTTATAATTTCAGAAATCTTAATTGGGGCATTCGTGACAGATGGGTATAGGTAAAAAGAGGCCCTCTAACAGCACGAGCGGCCCTAGTTTGGGAGGTAGTGATTGCAGGTCACTTGCTCCCAGCTACAAGGAGAGTGCCGAGTGGGAGGCAGAGCATAGGAGGAAGCAGCACATGCAACATTGGGAAGACCTACTTCAGTTCCACACTTCTATCCTAGCAGCAGGACCCCAAGCAAGCCACCCTCCTTAATATTAACCCCTTAAGGACAGAACTTCTGGAATAAAAAGGAATCATGACGGAATATTTACGTCATGTGTCCTTAAGGGGTTAATGTTAATAGGAAACATTATATGACTGTGGTAGTAGAAGTTAAAATACCGGTATGTACCTGTGCCACATGAGAATTTTAGTTTACAATATCTGGGATGGTAAAGATTAGCCATAACTACCCAATCTACAATATCCATGGTGTACATCCAGTAATGGCTGGCTGTTTATCATGGGAGCTGCAGTCAACCAGAAAAGGCTAGTTAGTGTGTAATGTAGTGCCCCCACCCATCGCACAGCCACATCAACAGTAAATTACTATTCCCATAATTGTCAACTATCATTGCTGTTTGCTCAGTACAATATTTACTCTCAACAAGTTAATGCTGTGTAGTTAGTTAGCTCTAGTTAATACGGTCATTACATCCTGCACCACATTTCACATTACTGCTAATCAAACACTGCACATTGTATTTGGTTTTAATAGCATAATCCCACCATTTGATTGCCAGATCAGTGTGTAATGCCTCCTCTGGCATTGGAATTGTTAAAAATAAAGCTTGTCTTACCAGTGTAGCAGATCCAGCACAGATAAAGGGAATATGAATAAAATGGAGGAATTATCGTCAGCCAGCCAACAGAGGGTGGAGGAAGTCTGAGTGACTGGGAGGGAGTCCAATATTGAAAAGAGGAGTATGATATCGTGCTGTAGTTGTGAATGTCCCGTATAAAGTATATAAAGCATGCAACGTGATAGCGTTACTGATTGATAATTATAGTAACAAGCTGCTAGAAGAAAAATGTTACCTATTAACAATGAAATATTGCCAAGAGTATAAAGTGGAGAGTCCAAAAGGAGCTAATCACCTAAATGCTTACCCAACTCACCAAAAACAGAGAAGTGAAAAATGTGATAATGAAGAGTAGAAATAAAGAGTGAAAAGTAAAGGAAAGAAATTTATAAACAAGTGATAAAAACAAAATACAAAAGATATAGTAATAAAATATATATAAAAATATAGTAATAAAAAGAAGAATAGGAAGAAAAAAGACAGAAGTACATAAAGGGAATCAAAAATGATTGTGTACAACTTAATTCAAAGGCATGAATTAAAACAATATTGCATAAGTTCAAAAAAGTTTATATCCACTTATCATGTTTTCCAGGATTATTAATAACTTCATTCCTATTATACGCACTGAAACCATAGATTTATGTGATAACTTTTTAGCAATGAGGAGCTATATAACATATGTTATAATACATTATGCAATAATATAATATAGTATAGTTCTGCTTTTAGTTCTGGTTTTAACAAACGTGTCACAGCAGTCTACTTAGACTGTCGCCATCACCGTCACCATCACCGACTTTCTGTTAAGCGGTTCCGGCTCTCTGAGTACTCGCAGGACTTCATGGTTTGCTTACAATCGTGCATTTTTAATCAGTGCTTTTAAACAGTAAAGAGTATAATGATGATGATATCATAAGTGAAAGTGCACTTTTGTATGAAAAACGCAAAAAATCTAAACAAAATTAACTCTACATTTGGCCAGGGTTTGTGACTTAGTGGCTAATAAAAACTACTGGACATATTCCATTTTCAATACCCTGGGTTGTCTACTTTTGCAAATGGTATGACAAGATGGTGGTAATTCTCATTCCTGGGCTGCCATATTGTCTCAAAGGCAACATAGACCCAACATACCAGTCTGGCAAATTGAAATGGACAAGCCCCATATTTGCCCCAGTAGCTTTCCAAAGCCCCATTAAACCTGTACTAGGGGGGAAGCACTGAACTCATGTGACTTTACTAAACAAAAATATTAGTGTTTTAAAACAGTAAAAAGTGTAGTGATATCATCACACAAATAGACGTGTTTGTGTGAAAAATGCAAAAAACAAATATGACCACTAACTTTGGTCAGGATTTGTAACTACGTGGCTACTAAAAAAGTCAGGGCATACCCCATTTGAAATATACTGGGTCATCTATTTTTGACAGGGTCATTTTCATTTCTGGACTGCCATACCGTCTCAAAGGCAACATAGGCCCAGCAAACCAACCTTTTATAAAAAGTGCAGGTTTCTTGAAAAAATGACAATCTTCTTTAAAAAAGTAGGACACACTCTTCACACATAAAGCAGTTCAGAAGGCTAAAGCACTTCACGGGTTCAGAGTGTCCCTTTAAAAGCACTCCGCTGCACTATCACTACTGATTGCATTTAAATTGTGGTATTAGGAAGGCACTCCATGAACCGTGGACACAGCTACAGTCTAAATTCACTTTGCACAATTTATACAGAATTTAGTTTTAAATAGCGCTTATACATAATTTAGATTATTTTTATTATACACACATATCTAAAGGCGTAGGGGTTGGCAGGGACTTTAATTTGACAATCTTTATTTCGTCTTATATCAGTACAACTCTACATAAGATATATCATAATATGTGAACAATTTCAACGGTTTGTAAAGGATATATAAGTCTATGAAACATACTACAAAACTTTCCATATTCAATTTCCTCTTGACCTCTCCCCCTGCTCCCTCAACATGAGATGAAAGCAAAAACAGAGACAATTTTATTTATCTTAATGGAATTATCACCGTTTTCATCAATAGGAAAATAATGTATTGGGGTTATTAAAGAATAGAAAACAGGAGCAAGAGTGTATTGATAGAGAGGAATACTACGCATAATATCAAACTGTAACTTTATTCTTGCAATAACACATAGTAATGAATTAGAAAAAAGTGTAAAAATAGTATGATTATCTTTAACAAGGTTTACAAATTATATGTGCTAGAAAAACATTAATATATCAAAAAATAAAATTGCAGGAGTGAGAATGGATTAGAGATCGCTATTAAGACTAAATGTTTGTCATTAGCATGACTGCAGACCCACGACCCACCCGTTGCCAATAAACACACAACACCTGTATAGTGGATAAGGGCAACGGCCACAGCTTTATTGAACATTTTTGACCAGCATTAAACCAACTGTCAGCTGATGGGGTGATTCATCCATCAGACAGGTCTCACATCCTTTTACCAGAGTCCAAAGCAGCCTGCCTTCCGCCTTCAGCCCAAGCCTGCTGTGACTCCCCAATCCGACTTGGCACTTGCCTTCCCATGCGCTGGCCAGGTATTCCGCCACCGCGATGCCGGGGGAGAGTGTAGCGCCTTCTCAATCCCACCTTGCATTCCCATGTTGAAAATGTCCAAACCAATCAAGCTTAAGTGTACCCCATCAGACCGCATCAGTGTGCTGTTATCCCCTTCCAACTCTACATGGCGGACTACGATGCCCCCAAGCTGACGAACAAACCTCGACACCGCCACATTCAACTTGCGCCTGCTGCACTCCAGCCCCTTTGCATAAGGCAACTGCTGCCAGCAGGGCCTCGGGATCACCTCAGACCACACCAACGTGACATCCCGAAACAATGCCATGCAACGGGCAAGATCGTCCTTCATGTCGTGCATGAGATCCACTGTCCGGACCCGCCCCAAGTCATTCCCCCCTGCATGGATGACCAATATCACCGAACTGGGAACAAACCTGCTCAGAAAACGGCACTCTGGGTAAACATGGCTCCATAACAACCTGCGAATGCCCCTCCACCGGACCCGTGCTTGGTCGTATGAAAACCCCAGGTTGCGGCCATAAGGGCGCTCCTCCGCCCGCCTCGCTGCCCAATAGATGTAGGAATGCCCTAGTATCCATACGTAATGAGGGCGAGAACCTAGAATGAACTAAGAGAAAACTGAACGGGAAGAAACTGTTACTCACCCCGAAATTAAACCCTATAAGAGGTGCAGCCGCACATACAGCTGGAACCTTCCTGAACTCCACCGCCCCAATTCCCGCACCGCTGCCAGTGAAAATCCCATCCCACTAGCCTGTGTGGCCGCCCCAATCCGGAAGGAATGGGCCGAGTACCCTTGCGGGCTCCTCCCGCACGCCACTAGGGATTCACGCAGGATCTTGCTAAATTGATAGCGCGTCATAGGAGACCCGTCCTGATGCACCAGCAGCGCACCCCCGCCCGCAGGGCGGACCTGCAGGAATCTCCGAAACAGGTGCACTGGACAGTACTCCCCCCCCTGCTGCATCAATATGTACCCACGCTCCTTCACCTCTTTGATCCGTCTTGGACTTACGGATCCGAATGTCCAGCCCCTTGACCGCCCACCGCACATCCGACACCAACAGCGGTGGCGCCACCTGACGACTGGCGGCCACCACCTCTCCGACCCGCAACGCCCCAAAGAAACACAAAGAAAAAGCGACCCCGAACAACAACGCCTCGTACTCTGAGCTACACACCCGCCGCAGCACCGCCAGGAGCTCCCACAGAAGCTGCACCGAAATAGGCCTCCTCTGATCCGGGACCCTCCTCCGTCGCCACCCACGCAGGGCTCTCTGAATACTAAATTCCCTGGTCATATCCTTCCAACCCAGAAACCTAAACAAGAATGACAGGGCCGACAGGGCCTTCTCTGCCGCGTCGCCACCCACGCAGGGCTCTCTGAATACTAAATTCCCTGGTCATATCCTTCCAACCCAGAAACCTAAACAAGAATGACAGGGCCGACAGGGCCTTCTCTGCCGCGGCACATAACCGCCCTTCATCCAACAATTGCTCCAAAAACAGTAAGGTTACCTCAAAGCGCCCCGCGTCCGACGCCAGGCTACCTTCCCCCGGCACCAACCCGAGCCACTTAGACCACATCGCCCGGTAGGACTTCCACGAGGATGCTGACAATGACTCCGACACCAACCCCATCAATCTTCGGAACCGAGCTCCCATAAAGACTGCGGGCAAGGCTGCCCCACCTGTTCCGCCTCTGGTGCCGCCTCTCAGAAACGCTGCCACTGGAACCGAGAAAGCGCATCAGCCACAATATTCAACACACCCGGCACATGACACGCCCTAACCAAGCGCCTCAGCAATGCCAGCACCAGCGGTGAAGCCGATGTTGTGCGATTTATCACATGTACAACACTCATGTTGTCCGTGTGAAAATCAACCGTTCGGTCCCGCAACTCGTGACCCCATAACTCCATTGCAACTACAATCAGGAAGAGCTCCAGGAAAGTCAAGTTGCGCATGAGATCCTTACCCCGCCAGCTGTCCGGCCAAGCCTCCGCACACCACCGGCCCCGGAAGTAAGCCCCGAAGCCGAGGGAACCGGACGCATCTGTGAAAAGTTCCAACACCGAGTTCCCAACCGCCGCTCGCAACCAACACGACCGGCCATTGTACCTTTCCAGGAAGGAACTCCACACCTGTAAGTCCGACTTAAGCTTCTTCGTAACCCGTATAAAATGATACGGCTCCCGATTCCCCACCGTCTCCAAAGAGAGCCGGCGACAAAACGCCCGACCCATCGGCAAAACACGTGCCGCAACTGCACTTTATTCGCCCCTTTTACTAGGTCGACCCAACGAAACAGCACTGCGACCTTGTCCTCCGGCAACCGAAAAATCATGTTGGCGGAATCAATTTCCACCCCGAGGAACGACAGCACCTCCGCCGGACCCTCCATCTTCTGTTCCGCGACC